CTTAGAACCCTGGTGATGTGTATGGAGTGCATAGTTCTTGAGTCAGAAGCCAGAGCACCTGCAACAGTGGATTTTCTGAACAGCTCAGGACACCTGGTCACCCTGGAATGTATCTACAGAAGATCCCCACTGGCCAAAATCAAAAGAGAAGTCACCACCATTCAGAATTCACAGGAGTTCCCGGGAGACCTGCAGGCTCAGAAGTTGGCTCACCTGCTGGCTCTGGACTTTAGGGTAACTGTGTGGTAGTGGATAGTAGATGTCAGGTGTTGTAGACTCTCAGTGAATAGCTGCGATGGTTACAATGGTGACATTGGTTTCTCTTAGTTTCTGTGTTAAATTTGGAGCTAGACAGGCTATTGGCATGTTTTAGCCTCATGAATGTTTGTAAATGCCAGAGGAAAACAGCGTGAGTTGTACCAGAGAAAAGAATAATAAATACTAGGACCAGAGTTCAACTTATTTCAAGCACCTAAAACAGTATAAAGTTACTGAGTGCCAATAGGTAGTGAGTGTCCACTATGTGCCAGGCATGGTGCCCCTTTGGGCTGCTGCACAGACCCTGTTGCACAGGCCTCTGAAGTAGTGGACATGAGCCCTATCTTGTGGCTTTGGAAGAAGAGGTGTAAGGAGGTGGTGTCTTGTCCATGAACTCAGAACCACTCCCATCCCAACCTTTACCATGTGTCCCACAGTCCAGCCATTCCACATCCCTGAGAGCTTCCAACTCAGCAGGTGGGCCCCACATCCATGGCAAACTTCTCTCCGCAAAATGCGCCTTTGCTTCCTGGTCCCTGGACAAGGCTTTCCATTCTTCCAGGCTCAGCTAGAGTAGAATGTCTGGGTCTAGTCGGGAGAGAGAAACCACACAGCAGGTTAACCAGGAGACGGTTAATATAACTTGTTTCTGGTAAAGGAGTAACTATAAGATGTATGATCCTCTCAGGCTGAGGGAGTGTACCCAAGATGCTTTGAACACTGGAGAAAGTGTGGTTCAGCCCACTGGATGATAGAGCTGGTCTAGAGCAGCTGGGCAAACAACGGGTCACCCTCTGAGTGCAGGTGGGAGAGTAGGTGATCAGCTACTAGTGGCGAGAGCATGCAGGTGCCTGCAGGGCAGGAGGCCAGCAGAGCACACAGGCTGTGTGGGCCCATCTTCTGGGCGCCCCAAATGTCCTCTCACACATACCTTCCCCTGGCAGTGCCCCTCAGTGCCCTCCTTGAGACAGCTCAGCACGTGCTCACTTGGCTGCAGGAATCCAGCTGTGTTGCAGAACAGATGTTGCTGGGCCCTTGAACTGAGAGGCTATAAATTGCTAACAGCCACCTATGGCTACCTGCCAGTGTCCATTAAAGGACCAACTTCCTCTGCAAAGTCTGGCGTTAGCCACATCAGCCCACTACTGGTTGGCTGGTGGTCAGCTGCAGTGTAGCTCACAGTGTGGTATGTGTGGTCTCTCCCTTTCCGGCCCTGGTCCACAGTGACCTCTCGGGGTAGCTAATGCCTGGATTTACCGCAGTGGGCAAGGCCACAACCCGTTGGTAAGAGTGAAGGGGAACTTCCTGGGGAATAGAAAGATTTTAGTACACCTGGCCTCTGTCTTGTTCTACTTCAAAACATTCATTTCTAGAAAATTCATGGGTGAGAAATTCACATTTTCTGCTGGAATTTGTTGGGCTCTGCTAGTTGTCAACGTAGGACTGACATTGAGCCATTTCATCTTTCAGACTCAGGCCTTGAGAAGTCAGCAAATACCCTTCCTAGACTGACGTGCCGAGGCGCCCAGTAGCATTTTCTGGAATCATCTTTTTCCATCCAACATAACGTGGATAGAGACATCACTTTATTTTGTTTTCAAGTTCACATTGGGTGCACAGCCAGCCCTTCAGTCAGGGCAGCGCGCACATCCCTCAGAAGACAAGTTTCCAGGGCGTCTTCCCAATATGTTCAGTTTGCCCTCTGCCTTTTCACTGGACCGTCAGTCTGCCGTGAGGCCTGTTTGCCCACAAGCCCATACTGCTGCCCCCCTCCTCCCAACCGCTCACATGGGAGTCCCGTCTGGGGCCCTTGCCCAGGCCTGGGCTACGTGCCAGCTCGGGACCAGACACAGGTCCTGTGCCAAAAGGCCCCAGACCGATGAATTGGGATACAAAGCCCAGAGTTCCAATCTCCTGTCACTCTTCTTCACCAAGTCCTTGTCCCCTTCTCGACGTGTGCCTCCTTGTCTGAATTACTGTGCATGGCCCCCTCTCCTGTGTACCGGCTGCCTCTGAGGGCTTTGTCAGAGGCTCCTCAGCTCCAGGACACATGGCAGGCCCGCACCGCCTGTGAGCCACACTCTCCTGCTTGAGCTCAGGTCCTAGTGTGCTTCCCGAGGCCTTGCAGGCTTTGCTCGCCATCTTCCTGGGGCTTGTCTGCCCAGGTTGGGCCTTCCCCAGCACTCAGGTGCCAGGCTGTCTCCGGGGAGGGACCCAGGTCATGCCTTGGGTGGCAACTGGGGTTGACATTTTAGGCTTCTATGGTGTTGTATTTAAATCTCTCAGTGGCTTCCTTTTACATTTTACAGTCCTGAGTCTGCATTGTAAGCTTGTAAGCAGGGTTGAGTCCTAAACTTGTTTGACTTTGCTGTGGTGGACACTGCAGTGGCTGATGGAGAAGCTGAGGCCCCGTGTAGGACAGTAACTCCTGACAGCAGGGGCCACGTGAGATGCCTGCCCCTCATGGAGAGGCGGGAATCACTTGTCGCAGATGCCCACGCCATCTTTTAGGACATGAGATCACCAACCTTTAAGCTTGGGACCAGATACAGAGGTCTGTGGGCAGGGTTAGCAAAGGCCCTACAAAGGCACCGCCAGGGTCCGTTTCCTCTAAATGGCGTCTATCCTCAATGCCACGCCTCTTACCTTGCCTCACAATTCCTAACTCTCCTTCGATCACAACTCTAAGTGCTGTTGTCCAGGACTTGTCTGGGACTGCTCTGTGTCTCGGGGAAGTCGTGACCTGTGGGTTGACACCTGACAGAGACTGACTGGGCTGTGCCTGCATGTTGGACAGCTGGGCTTTCACTGAGCACCAAGTGGTGGTCAGTGCCACAGCTGCCCACCTGTCCCCAAGGTTGGGGCACCACCAGCTCAGCAGTCACTTTGGCACGTTGCAACAGTGCGCAGCGCTGCCCTTGATAGTGGCTCTCAAGGCCACCTCCACCTGTGGGCCAGGGAGGGGCTTCAAGTGTGGCCTGTGGCAGGGACAATGGATCCAGGAACCGACAGCTGCACGGGGCAGGGCTGTGCCTGACCCGCCCTAGTCCCCTTGCTAACCCACGGCTTCTGGACAGCACTGAGATGGCAGTGACACCCTCTACTTCTTCGCTGGGTTGTACAGCAGCTCTTTAAACCTACGTGGAAAATAGCTCTTAAAACAAACAAGAAGCAAATTGGCCTAATAATGTTCATTTCTGCTTTCTTTAGATGCAGCAAGAATTTCAAAATGGAAAAAAAAAAGCCACAGGGGGTTTGAACAGACTGAACATGCTGCCAGGCACATGTCACTTTGGGTTAGCTTAGTAGCGTCTGCCACCCTCAGCCAAGCGCCCACAGCAGAACGTCAGATGGATTAGGCGCACACATTTGCTCCCTGGAGGGTGCGCCACTTTCTGTAGACAGGGGTGAGGTGAGGGGAGCCCCACTGTGACTCTCCTGTAGAGCCAGAACCACCCCTGAGGTGCAGTGCTGGGCCAGAGCCGTGGGCAGCAGGGACAGCACAGCCTGTCAGACCCGGGCCCTCGTCCCTGGGAGGCTCTGGACAGCTGGGGTCCAGGCGGCTGGGGTCCGGGCAGCTAGGGTCTGGCCGGCTAGGGCCAGCCATGTGGCTCAGGGCATCATCTTCTCATGGACCAGCCACTTCTGCTTCTTGTCTTCATTCACATCCAGCTTGTGTCTAATCCAGTGTCCATAATCCTTGCCTACTTATTTTACCAAGATTCATACGGCCTTGGTCATATATACATATATAACATCATTCTTGCTTTTGTGCAATGTATGCTTTCTCCTCTCAGGTATCGTCCCCGTAAAATTCCCACCACCAGTCCACCCGTCACCACAATCCTTTGTGCTCTTCCCTTCCCTGCTAGATCCCTCCCCCTCCCCCTCCCCTGCAGAGCGTCTCCGATTAATAGTTGCCTGCAATTCTTTTGGAAGAAATGCTTCTGTAAAGAACGGGACCGAGGCGGGGTTTGCCTGCTGTGGATCTGCGTGTGTCTCTCCTCAGGTCCTTGCGCCAGGCCTTTCAGGAGTGTGGGTGTCTCATCAGTGTTAGATCCCCTGACAATCCCGGGGGAGAGGAGACAGCTCCACCAGAACTGGGGGCCAAGGGCCATTCTCTCCCCAGAGAAGGATCACACAGGCTGGAGGTCACAGAAGATCCTCCAATCTGGAACCCTTCCCCATGAGGGGTTCTTATCCCAATTCCAGAACCTTCTGCCCTCAGGTTTGGTTTTCTTGCCTCTGGACAACACATTCTCCTCTGGTCGAGTTTTGGAGTGGTGATTCCTGTACCACTCTTAGGGTCCCTGTGCCAGTCCAGCATCCCCTGCCCTGGTCCTTTCGGGAACACTGTCTTGCAGAGTTCTTTCTGAGACCGCTATACTTTGCCTTAATTCTCTGCCTCCTGTAGAAACACATGGGTCCGCTTTGGCCTGTGAAGCGACCAGAGCCGCTTTGTGCGGCATACCTTTGTGGGGCATCCATGACTGGTGACTCCAGTCTCCTGCCCTGCCCTGCTGACTTCAAGAGACTGTCCTCTGACCTTCTCCTTGGGGCCCGTGAAGGCAGGTGGAAGCCTCTGCTTGGCGAGGCTCTCAAGGGCAGCATTCCAATCCGCCTCCAGTGCTCCTTGTGTGGACTTTTTGGGCCTGTGGGCTCATCCTATGCTGATCTCAGCCTGTTGCTCAACTGGCCCGTCCTATTGGCCCCATGTCAGCCTCTCTCTGCTTGCTCTGCAGGGCCTAATGCACTCCAGTGGCCCGGTTGGCCGGCACCGGCAGCTGATCCTGGTTCTCGAGGGGGAGCTCTACCTCATCCCTTTCGCCCTCCTGAAGGGAAGCTCCTCAAACGAATATCTCTATGAGCGCTTTGCCCTCATCGCCGTCCCTTCCATTCGCTCTCTCAGTCCGCAGTCCAAGGTAAGCTGCACAGCTCATGGGGGGGCCTTGCTCTCAGGCACCTCAAGGCATTTCTCTCTGGTTATGTCACTAAGGTCCCTTCAACATGTTGATGCTGTATTTGCAGCAGGGTAGGATGACTTTAGAGTACACCTGTCCAAAGGTAGGTCAGCTTTCTGATCCCCAGAAGTTCTTTGCTACCTCAGGAAGTCAAGATGGGTGACATCAAGGTTGTGAGCTACGCGTAGGCACTATGGTTAGGCCGGAGGTTGCTGGTTACCCGTCACGCATGACCCCACTGCTAAACACCACCTCATCTCTCCCTCAAGTTTACCAAGTGCTGCGCAGTGGAAGGGCAGACAAATAAGAATAGTGTCATATAGAAATGAGTCCCGCAGGTCAGTGGAAAAATTGAAAGCAAGTAAGGCCCCCCCCTTCAGGGCACAGGTAGGGGACCTGGATCTCAGTGAACAAGAATCTATATGGGAAGAAATATCTAAGCACGAAGGTAGAAATATCTAAGCACGAAGGGTGCTCCAGAGCCACCTGTCACCCCCAGCCAGTGCAAGCCCCTACCACCTAGTCAGAGAATCTTTGAGTCAGCCCTGAATCCTCTTGCCCTTCTCCAGACGCCCTCCAAGACCTGACAAGCTGGCTTTCTTCTGACCACCTCGCTGCCCTGGCCTGCACTGGCGCATTCCCAGCTGCACTTAATTGTTCTGTCTTCAAACTGCCAGCTGCCCTCAGAGCCCCTCCAGTCCCCAGGTGGGGCTCAGTCAGATGGGTCTCCATGTAGGAGGAAGTGTCAGCTGCTTCAGGAACCCACAGGACCTGCCCTGCTGCCCTTGCCCATGGACCTTGGCCTGGTTCAGCAGGGTCAGTTTCTGCCTTCCAGGGTTTGGGACAATTTAGTTTTAACTATTTTTGTTGATGAGACAGAATCAGTTTGAAGTGAAGGAAGCACCAGATTCTTGCCTCCTACTCCAACCTTCCTGGGGCTTGACAAACAGGAAGGGACCTTCCTACCATCCAGTCCTGATTATCTTCAAGAGCCTGTCGCAGCAAGTTCTTAGTAAGAGGTCCACTTGTGTCAGAGGGTGTTGAAAATTAGTGTGAACGAGGTTACTGGGAGAACAAGAGCCAAGCTAGACCCAACCCTGACCAGAGCATGGGCCATCCTTATGCTTCTGAGAACCACTGCTGGGTGGCTTGTTCACGTCTGACCGGTGGTCTGCTTGTCCGTTCGCCCCTTCTAGTCTCTTCTGAGGAAGAATGTGTCCATGTACTCCAGCTCTACATCCATGGCAGCTGTCATCGGCAATCCCAAGCTCCCGTCAGCAGTGATGGACAGGTGGCTGTGGGGGCCGATGCCATCAGCCGAGGAGGAAGCCTACATGGTATCAGAGCTGCTGGGCTGCCAGCCCCTGGTAGGCAGTGTGGCCACCAAAGAGAGGGTCATGAGCGCCCTGACCCAGGCTGAGTGTGTTCACTTTGCTACCCACATCTCTTGGAAACTGTCAGCCTTGGTCCTCACGCCCAGCATGGATGGCAACCCAGCTGGCAGCAAGAGCTCTTTTGGCCACCCCTACACAATCCCAGAGTCCCTGCGGGTGCAGGATGATGCCAGTGACGGAGAGAGCATTTCCGACTGCCCACCACTGCAGGAGCTGCTGCTCACAGCGGCCGATGTCCTGGACTTGCGGCTTCCCGTGAAGCTGGTGGTGCTTGGTTCCTCTCAGGAGTCTAACAGCAAAGTCACAGCCGACGGAGTCGTCGCGTTGACACGGGCCTTCCTGGCTGCAGGAGCACAGTGTGTCCTTGTGTCTCTGTGGCCGGTACCAGTGGCTGCTTCCAAGATGTTTCTCCACGCCTTCTACTCAGCCCTGCTGAATGGCCTGAAAGCCAGCGCTGCCCTGGGGGAGGCCATGAAGGTGGTGCAGAGCAGCAAGGCCTTCTCGCACCCCTCCAACTGGGCAGGTAGGAGCCTGGGCCCCAGCTACTGCTCTATCAGTGGGCCTTGGGGAGTGGCCCTCACAGCCCCCTCATGGAGGTGGGGAGGGCAGGGTGTTAGGGAAGGGCAGCCACAGGAAGAGCAAGTTGAGAGCCTTGTGTCTTCTACTCTGAAATTAGTCTTTTTCACCAGGAGTAGCAGAACAGTTTGCCATCAGAGTGTGAAAGTCAGTCTTCCTGATGTTAGTGTCCACTGGAGGACCCTATTTATGGCGCCCTCACGTAGAAGCCCACCTCTGTAGAAGAGGGTAGCATTGTAGAAATATCCTCGATTGGTCCATTAGACTGGGGTTTGATCTGGCTCCAGTGGCCGGGCTGTGACCTGACAGGCTGCCCTCTGAAGCAAGCATCCTCAGTGGTGACAGGGGATGATGGCAGCAGTGCTGACACCACTGTGTCCACGTTCGAGAGGATCTGTGAGGAGTGAGCTGAGTGTCTTATGATGCATGTGGCACCACACATTCCGCAAGACCAGCAGTGCATGCTCTGAGCGGGGTGGCCAGAGGGCATGGGGATCTGGGCGTGTAGGGGGAATGTGCTCACGGGAAGGGGTGAGGGACCCTGCCTCTTGGCATCAAGTGATGACCTCCATCCTCCAGCATGCCCAGGGACCCTCCCACGCAGGCTGGGGCCATTCTGCCAGCATAGCTCAGGATCCTTCAGTCTGTGGCCTTTAGAATTGGCCTCTACGCTCCCAGGGTGCACCAGAGCAGGGGAAAAGTCCCACCAATGCTGTAATGGCAGTACAGACCCGTGACGCAGCCTCTTAAACCTTGGCAGAAGAACACCAAAACACTTTTTAAACTTTCACATTATGTTTAATGGCAAAAAAAAGCCCCACACCATCTATGGAGATATTTAAAAATTGAGAACAAAATGACTCTCACCTTACTCTTCTGTCAAAAGCAAGCAGCTGACGTGTTCTGATAGTACCGCTGTCCTTCCCAGCCCTGCAGTGGAGCTGCGCCATTCCCAGGCCCAGCAGCCAGAAAACGACGCAATAGTTGTCTGATCTTGCTGTGCTGAGAAATGGAAATACTTGTTTGCATCACAGACACAACACAACTGTAGTAGTTTTCAAAAAGCTGTTTTCGAGAGCCATCTTAGCTAGTTGTGACACAGCGTTAACCAATGTACACATCTTGTTTGGTGAATCTAGTCTTGTGAACAAGAACAAACCACTGATTATCAAATAGTTAGAAAACTGCAAAAACAAAACAAAAACAAAGCAAAATGAAAGAGAACAACAAGCCATAGTAGAATCTATTCTGTTCCTGTGGCTGAAAAAAATCATTCAGTGGGTGGAACAGGCGTATTTTTTGCGGTGCTCCCCTCACAACTGTCCCCTCATTCCGTGAGGAGGGCAGACACTGAGGGTTTTGGCCTGTGACACTGAACCACTTGTGCTCCCAGATGCAGAAATCAGAGGCTGTGCTGGAGGCGTCCATGACTGTTCTCAGCACACGACGTCTGTTTTGCGTGCTCTCCCGGCCATCAGAGGGCCCCACGCGGTGCCACAAAGTACTACAGGGTTTGTGGGAATCTGACCTATTTCCTGCCGACAGAGCCCTCCTGCAGGCCCCTTTCTCTTCCCATGGTGCTCACGGTGATATTTTTGTCCGTGTTTAGTTTTATTGACTGACAATATGAAAGTCACATCTTTGTCCTGGTGGAAAGATTTTATGCTGCCATCTTACCCTTAAATACAGCCTTGGCTCTTTCACTCTCCAAGAAAACTCTTTCACGTCACTACTGGGGGGGCAGGGTGGCCCTATGGTTGTTTGGTGGCTTGACACTTCATGTGTGCCTCCTGGGCCTTGTGTACAGAAGGAGGTGCTGGGAAAGGAGCCACATGGGCATGGGATGGATAGGGATGGGGCCTGGGTGGGGGGTGTGAATCTTGCCCAGCCCAGTTTGTGAATTCTTATAACTGGAGGACTATCCCTTCCTGCCCCTAGTCCGGTGGCCTCAAGTCAGAATGCAATGAACCTGCCCCTCCATCCTCGGGAATCCTCCAGACAGAGACAGTGAATTTCAAGAAAATCAGGCAGACAATCACCAAGTCAGGGAAGTCGCCATCAGTCTTAAGGCCACCAAGCTTTTCCCATCCTTGCTCACAGAGCAGCAGCTGAGCAGCTTACCGCACCCCACCCCCCTTCCTGAGCAACAAACAGTGACTCTTCACGGAGAGGGGACAAAAGGCTGCCCTTTTGCCAAAAACAGCCCTCTAAGGTGAAGTCTGAGGTGCCCTCTCTTGCTCTCCACAGGGTTTATGCTCATCGGGAGTGATGTTAAGCTCAACAGCCCCTCGTCGCTCATCGGCCAGGCCCTCACAGAGATCTTACAGCACCCCGAGCGTGCGCGGGATGCCCTGCGAGTGTTGCTGCACCTGGTAAGGGGGGTCAAGGAAGCCCAGCACCCAGGCTTCCTGCAGAGAAAGTTGCCAGGAGAACGACGGGAAGGGCAGAAGACAGGGTTAGGCTAAAGGGGATGTGAGCGAGTTGACAGGCCCACGGTTGAATCAGTTGGTCCGAGTGGTGGGTGCCATATGAGATGGCTGCACAGTCCTCACCAGGACTCTGGGGAGGGGCAGCCGAAGACAATGACCTAAGCAGCACCCACCCCACAGCCATCTCCAGGCCATGTGGCTTTGGGCACGTCATGTGGCTCTCTGAGTCTCAATTCCTCATGTGGAAACAGGGAGAAAATGAACTTTCCAAGGTTATGAGCATTAGAGAAAATGTGAATAGCTGGCACACAGGGCCTCAGTAGCTGAGACGATATTTTTTAATCAGATAAAGCAGGCCTTCCACTTAAACTCAGAAGTCTAAGTCAAGAAATGGTGATATAAAATGGTTTCTACCTTGATAACCTGGAAGGCAGTTTCAAATAATTTAGAATTTTTAGCTCCTTGGAAGTCTGTTCCGGAAAGAGCAGTCCACCCAGCCTGGGCCACTGCTATGGTGGGCAGACCCTGACACATCCATGCTCTTTCCAAACCCAAGGCCAATATCCACACATGGGCCCTGGCAGGACAGAGGCGAGCACACCTTGGCTCTGTGCTCAGGAGGACGGGCCCAGGGAAAGTGGCTGGGGTTTGTTTTGAGCAGGCAGTTCAAAGGCTGGGGTGGGGTTCCCAGTAGGCATGTCCTCTGGATGCCAGTGTCAGGCCCAGAGGTGGCAGCTCTCAGTGCACTCCTGGTGATTCGTTTGCTGTGCATATTTCTGAAGTTTAGGGAGCCCTTCTGCCTGAAGGGCTCCTCAGGGCTGAAAGAAATCAGAGTATGAATAAGAAAGAATGCCAGAACCTGCAAACCTCCCCCATTCTCAGGCCAGAGAAGGTGGCTCACACTGCTTACCACAGAACAGATGTGCTTGCGTGCAGGGAGAACTTGTGGAGACAAGTCTTTGATTTTGACTCATCTGGATACTGCACAGAGCCTTTAAGTTGCTTAGCACTAGGGCCTCCTTAGGTCCCTGTCACCCCAAAGTCATCTTCCTTGCTGCAGCTCTCACTTTTCTTAGATAAGTGAACTGCCTCTCTGCCCACTTGGCTCTCTTCTGAGGCCAGCAAAAGCCAGGCCCTCAGCTATGCCCCAAATGGCCTCAAGGCTCCTTGGGCATATTTAAGGGTTTTCCTTCTCTTCTTGGCCAGTTTCTCTCCAGGGCCCTTCCCACCCAGCAGCAGCCCTCTGGCTAGGTGTCCGCCCTGCCCAGGAGTTCATTTCTACTGCCTGTCATGGCGGCCTCGGGCAGACCCCATGTGACCTCTTGGGTCACTCTTCTATCCCTCCAGAGAGAGGAGTGTGGGGAAAGGCCTGCTGTGGGGCACTGTGTGATGCTCACCAGAAGGGGTCGTTGCAGTAGTTCTATGGTGAACTCACCCCGCATGGGCCAGGCACCAGTTCGGGTCCTAGAAGGTAGGAGGGGCCTGATGGTAGAGGGGCAGGGACAGGTTCAGAGTGCGTGGGGGATTAAGGATAAACCAGTTGGAGGTACAGGGAAGAAGGGCACTGGAAGCCAGGGCTTTGATGGGCACTGATGGGTGTGTGGGGTCTGGAAGTCCAGAGGGCTCATCCTGGTGATGGAGCCATCATGTGGTTTGGGGAAGTCCTCTGACCTGAGATTGGTTTTCAAGACAAGTCACTTCAGTGTCTGTGAAGAGCCTGGAGTGGTAGGTGGGTGAGGGAAGGACAGAATTCTTCCAGGTCACACCAGTCTGTGCTTGCTATAACTTCTCCCTGTGCAAGAAGCAGTGCCACTGCCAGTATCTTGGTCTCCTGGCCTAAGTAGCAGCAGCAGCCCTGAACCTGGGCCTTTGTGTCCCCAAAGCCACTCAGAGAGAAATCCAGGCTGGACCATGAGCAGAACAGCACCTCAACCCCTTACCCCTCCAGGTGGAGAAGTCCCTGCAGCGCATCCAGAATGGACAGCGAAATGCCATGTACACGTCCCAGCAGAGCGTGGAGAACAAAGTGGGTGGCATACCCGGCTGGCAGGCCCTCCTCACCGCAGTGGGCTTCCGGCTAGACCCCCCAGCCAGTGGCCTGCCGGCAGCTGTTTTCTTCCCAACATCCGACCCAGGCGACCGGCTCCAACAGTGCAGCAACACCATCCAGGCCCTGCTGGGTGAGCCTCGGGGAGGGCTGGGACTCTGAGGGACAAAGCAATTGGTGGCCACGGTCCCTGCAGTCACAGGGATGTTGGATCTCACTGGCAGGAAGGCGCAAGAGAGTATCCTGAGAAATGGCCAGGAGCCCCAGCCACCGCTTCTCCTGGTTTGGAGGAAAACTAGTGCCCTTAACCCGATCTTTGCATTGGTAATGGCAAGGCATCCTCTGCCCCAGCAGGGCGCCACCGTGTCTCTGCCTTTTTCTGGGGTGGCACAAAAGCTGGACAAACAGGAGCTGCCATTAATATGTAATCAGCAGCTGCGAATCGGATAGAGCTGTGCGGCCAACCCCAGGTAAAAGCAGGAGGCAGACATGCAGGGCTGCCCTCTGCGCTTCACCTAGAGAGGGTGATGCTGCCTGAGCCCGAGACCTGGTCCTGTGAATGTGATCATGTGCAGCATGGTCAGGTCTGGCCCCTGCCTCCACCTACCTTTCTTAGAGACTGCTTTCACCTTTTCCATGCCAGGCCAGGACACACATGTCTGGCTGTCCAAGCTTTGGAAAAATGCCACCAATGCTAAGCATTATGGGTGCGTTCTCCTGGAAAGGCAGCAAGACCGTGGGTGCAGAGGCCCTAATGGATAATCTCTGTCTCCTTCCTGGTTTAGGTTTGCCCAACCCTGCCCTTCAGGCCCTCTGCAAGCTCATCACCGCCTCGGAAACGGGCGAGCAACTAATCAGCCGGGTGAGTCATCAGGGCAGCTGAACCTGGGCAGCTAAGCCCGGGCCTGAGGTTGAGCCTAGTTGGAAAGACGAAGTAGGAACCTGCAAGTAATGCCATCAGTCTCGTTGCTTTTTCCAGCTTTTGTGATTACAAGGAAAAGGTGAGGGCTAGAAGTTAGAGAATTGTCTTAATTGAGTCCCGGGAGCATTGTGGATCTACAGAGCATGCTTAAAGGGCCCCTATCACCTGTAGTGTCAGGGCATTTCCTGAAGTCTCCGTTCAGTGGCCTACTACACCCTGTCATCCCCACCTGCTAACTTTTTTGGCTGATTAACAAGTGTCACAGCCAAGTGGGTGCAGGACCAGCCTGCCTAAAAGTGTTGTTTATTCTCTAAGTATGCACTATGCCTGTAATAGGATGGAGGCACTGAAGTGAACATAAATTCAACACTAATACAAGGGACACCTTATAGCAGTTTTTAAAACATGCTTTCTTTTAGGATTGTGTAGATCTAATTTGGAGAATTTGAACTCTCAGCATCATGTAGTCCTTCCCAACCCTCAGAGTTTCTGATGGTCCAGCTGGCCACTGAGGACCTGCCACGCGCCTTGGCGGTGGGCTTCTGGATGGTGTAGCAGCCCTACAGAGCACAGCTCGATTTCTCTGGTCACCCTGGAGTGTAATAATTTGAAAAAAATCATATGCATTGTTGACAGATTTATCAGCAGATTTAAGGAGAAATATTTCTGTGTGGAAATCTCCATCTAGGATTAACCTCTATATGCACAAAGTGAGTGGTACCCAGAGCTGCCCCTGATGTGGGGTTGTTTCTAGTGTGAAGTCGGAACACAGTAACAGTGTTCTGAGAACACAGATCAGTGATCAGGACCTTCATTGCATTCCCCACATTTTTTGTAGTAAGTGTGTTATAGCTGCTTGTTGAAAGGAATCAGGAAGAGACTTCCAGAACACTGCATATTAAAACACCCTGAATTTGAAGGAATAAAAGCCAAAGCTCTACAAAGGAAAAGGCTAGAATATCTGTAGGTCAAGGTTGAGAGTCCAGCAAGCCAGTCGCTTAATTTCTTGCTTTTGATGCATACTGGGGACTTTCCACCTAAGACACTACTGGGCCCCAGAAAAGGGTCCTGGGCTTTCTGCCCTAGTGGCCAGGGGACATTTTCTGAGTGACTTTGTTTTACAGAATGGTCCACACATGCCCTGCTGTGACCCCCCCTCTCCCCTAATCTGGCCTGCATCTCTCCTGATGAAGAAGGGCAGGGCCTAGCTGACCCCACCCCAAGTGCATCTGGTCATTCATTTTCTTGTGTCCCTGCTGACTCTTGCTCCTCTCCCCTCCCGGTCAGAGCCGCGGGCCTGGTATGGCGCTTCCTAAAGCAATGATCACCTCGTGTTGCATAACAACCTATGCTTGAGTCTAAACTCTCTTCTCTCTCTCTTTCTTTCTTTTTCTTATAATCTGCTGGCGAAGGCTGTTAAAAATATGGTTGGAATGGTGAGTACTACTTTAAGTAGCAACTGTTGTCAGGTGAGCCCCACCACCCACCCGTGTTCCCTTTGGCAGCTCTGAGCTCAGTGCGCACAGGCTACTTCTGAGTCGCATGCACATGCCAACACATGCTCTGGGCTGGGGTGACCAGTGCTGCCAGTGCAGATGGTCTGCCCCCTTCCTCTGCTCTGGCTCCCCTTTTCCTGCTCCAGCCTTCTTGTGTTCTTGATTTGACCTTTCAAGTTCCACCAGAACAACAGGGGCAGAAGTGACTTTAAGTGATATTCTGAACCCAGGCGAGACCCCTGAGTAGGGTTCTCAGACTCTGAGGAAATCTAAACTACCACGGGCACTTGAGCAGTGGGTTCTTCCTCAAGTGCCAAGACAACGATATAATGCTGGATTCCTTTTGTCCATTTACCTCAAGATCATAAAGATGACTTCAATTAAATAAAAAAAGGTGACCAGCCCTATCATCTACCCTGCTTCAAGTCCCCAAGTCCCTCTTGTACATGAGGAAAGATGGGAGGCTGGAAGCAGAAAACCCTGACTATGGCCCACGACCTGTAACACCGCATCTAGTCTCTTGACCCACTGCCCCATGAGGTTCCCACAGAGAGAACAGGACAGCAGGCATGAAGGCCCTGTAAAAAGAATTCCAAGTGCTGCACACACATCAGGTGATAAGGCAGTAGCAGTGGTAACAGGCAACACAAGGATAATTTGGGGCTAAATCTGAGGTGGGTCAGAGGGAAAGATGTTGGGAAGGAGCAAGAACTCACCTGTTCTCTCTTACTCAGCTCCACCAGGTGCTGGTTCAGCTGCAGGCCGGTGAGAAGGAGCAGGATTTTGCATCAGCTCCCATTCAGGTTTCTATCAGTGTCCAGCTGTGGCGACTTCCGGGATGTCATGAGTTCCTGGCAGCTCTAGGTAGGGCAAAACAGAACAGGTGAAAAGAACGTCCTTGACTGAACTGGTTCCAATTTTAAAAACATCTGTTTTCTGCTGGTTGGGTAAAATTGGTAGAGTCTTGGTTTCTTGGCTCTGTGTTCAACTCAGTGTCTAGTGCTTTAGCAAAAATCTCAAATGGCCCTCTAGATTTAATCCATTTCCTCTATAACACGAATTCCGCGCTCTCATTTGTACTCATCATCTGAATATGAGTATGCCAAGTTCCAGTATGGTTGGGATTCAAGCCATGATTTAAAAAAAAAAAAAAAGCCACAAAATAAAGTTTTCTGAAACCACCTTTGAGTTGAGCATGGACACCTAGAACTCAGATATCAGGATCTGTGTTCAACCCAGAACACTTGTTTTTCAACACTGTATGTGGCTGGGGAAGCTCCTGACATAATTGCTACTTACTTGTACCAGGTGCATCTGTTGCTAAAACAACACAACAAGCTGTTGAGTTGTTTTCCTGCTGCCCTCCTTAAGACTCCATGTGACCTGCTTGGAGTCATTCACTCCACAAGTTTGTTTTGAATACCTGTTATGCATGTGAGGAAATGTGCCAGGCACTGAGGATGCAGCAGTGAGCAAAGGACAAAAAAGCTCTGCCCTCCCCTCCCCTAAGTTTTCATTCTAGTAAATACCTGATCCAAGAGGAACACCTTGGAAGCTAAGGGGGCACAATTATAGATTAAAAAACAAAACAAAACAAAAAGACAGGTTCATAGTGACTGGCTGGAGGAGGATGAACAGGGAGCAAGGGCAGGCTCAGAGAGCCTGTGGATATTTTCAGGACAAAAATCCAGGCAGAGGGAACAGCAGTCAGTGAGCCTGCGTGAGAGGCCCATGCACAGGGGCTGGGTGGAGCAGAGCCTGAAGGCCTTGAGAAGGGAAAGACCTCTGGCTTTTAACCCGAGGGAATGGGTAATCTTTACAGGCGGACATGGCCTGGCTTCGTCCTGGCTTCTCTCGTACAGGGAGTAGTCTTCAGACCTGGCAGGAAGTTCTTAAAAAAGAATTCTACTTGTGAAGCCTGGATATCCAGTATTTTAGATGACGTTTCCTAGCCTGCCTCTCCTTATGGCTGACTCCATTTATTTTCAAGGAAAGCCTGAAAGCGTAACACTGGCACTCTCTGGTGTCAAGATTGTGGGTGATTTTCATGGATGTTCCTTTTCTTTGTACTTTCCAAATTGCACTGATACTCAAGAGCGCGAGTTTGTGTGCATATATTTACAATCTTTAAATCCTTTGGGCTGAAACTGAAGAGAACCAGCTCGCCCCAAGGCTCAGAGAAGCACCCCAGTCCGGCCTGCAACATTAAGCATGCACCATCTTAGCTATTCACAGGCTGTTGGTTACTTAGTGGTTTCAGTTCTGTTGAAACAATCAAATCATTTTAGTGAAGAGTAGGAGTATCTAACAAACATTACTTATTAATTTGCCTTTAAGCACTGGGTTCTTAAAAGTAAAGTCACTTCTGAAAGCAACAGGAATGTTTCAAAGTTCAGAAAGCAAAATGTGCCCTAGCAACCAGAGGCCTGAGCGGCTCCTCAAATGAACCTAATTCCCAAGTGAATGGTATTTGCTAGAGATCCTGACATTGGTCAGACACTAGGACTAGACAGACCTCTCTGGCGAAGCCTCCCTTGAGTAGCGCACAGCTGGCAGAGGAAGCGCTGTGCTTTAAGGAGACCTGCGATCTGAAGATTGCAGGGGCAGAGGAAGGAAAGGACTGGTCTCATGGGTGCCTGTCCCCTGGGCCTTCAGCACCAGCATCTGCACTGTTTCAAAGTTCAGTGATCTGTTGAGGAGGCAACGTGAAGACTGAGGGCTGAAAACTGCAAGCCTGAGATTCTTGCCTGGTGGTGTCCATCTGTAGGTGTGGCAGCCCCCACGGCACCTGTTTGGCTTCTCTCTCCTGCGCTCTTCCCTGGGATGTGTCCGGCGCCTCTGCACTGTCTCCTAATACATATAAGGGCTGTGTCAACAGCTCATTAACCAGTATCTTGCTCGGGAGTCTCATGTCTTCTGTTGTGCCGGCTCTAAGTCTCATTAGAACCGTTAAACTTGGGGAGCAGCCCCTTGGGCTTTGGCAGAGTAGATTCCCTGAAGGGAAGCTTGGCTGAGAAGGCAGATTCTCCATGTTTGGCGAAAGCACATTTCAAAGCCGTCAGTGGCATATGCTGACCCACATAAAGACATTGTCTTGACCTTGAGAAGACACCTTTCTCTGCATCCTGCTTTAACTACTGGCCTCAGGGCTGAATGGAGTTGGCCAGCTTTTGTCCTGGACAGTCTTCTTTAAGTAGACTATTCTGTGAAAGAATGGGAAAAAACCAATATGTTAATGAGCCTTACTAACTTCTGACACTCAGCTCTCAAGTTCAGGAAAGCAGCTCGTACTCTTGGGGGGAGCCAGGCAGTGAGGGCTCACACAGCAAATGGAGAGATGGGCTGAGCAGGAGTTAGGACAGGGAGCTGGACAGCATCTGTTCATGTGACTATCGCTCACACACAGGAAAGCCCCGGCAGGGAGCTTGCTCTGAGTGGTCTGCTGGGATTCCATGAGACTATAAGGGACCAACAACTCATATTTTTCAGGATATGAAATCTTTTCTAAGGAAGCAGATGTTTATATTTTTTGTTCCTCCAGGTTTTGATCTCTGTGAGGTTGGTCAGGAAGAAGTAATACTGAAAACCGGGAAACAAGCCAACAGACGAACCATGCACTTTGCACTTCAGTCCCTGCTTGCTCTCTTTGGTAAGAGCTGCTCTCCTTGGGCGCCTCCTGTGGGCAGATGTCAACACACTTAGCTGTGTTTGGAGGGGGGGGGGGAATGTGAATCATCGCGTGCGCGTGTGTGCGTGCGTGCGTGTGTGTGTGTGTGTGTGTGTGTGTTTTCAAGAGCAGCAAACAAGAACTCCCTGCAGAGGAGACCATTAAAATATACCCAGTATATTAGATGAGAGTGCTGCCAAGTTCTAGGAAGAACAGAGAGCAGAGTTGAGGGACTAGAAAGTGAGAGGGTAGAGCAGAGGTTAGGGCACATGGTGACAGGGTGGGCCTGCTAGGACACCTACCTGCCTGATGTTCTCAAAGTGCCAGGCTGGCTGCAGTGTGAAGACAAAATGCTGTCTCGGGGTAGTCAAGACAGAACCAATAGGATCTGCTGAAGAATATACATCAGAAAGAGAGGGTTAAAGGTGATACCCTGTTTTTTTTTGAAATAGCTGCCAGAATGAGACTGCCTTTTGCTGAGACCTTGAAAGTGGCAGGAATGGGTTTGAATTCCATCTTGGACAGTTTTAATTTTGAAATACCTATTAGATACCTACACAGGCAGCTGGTTTAAGTTTAGAGTTCAAGGAGAGGCCAGCATGGAGATATGAATGTGTATTCAGGTTCAAAGGTCACACAGGTGAGGAATAGTCTGGGATGGAATGGTGAGGGCATGTCCACTCTGCAGAACTGAGCAGTGAACTCTGGGTTTGACAGTGTGGACATCACTGGTGGCCTTTATGAAAACTAGGAGGACAAAAGCCTAAATGGACTGGGTTAAGAAGTTAGGAGAGGCAATGCCGAGAACAACTATAAAAAACTTGCAAGGCAGTTGCTGGAATGTGGAATGATTGGTCCTGTGCCTGAAATGGGATGGAGGTCTGGGTTTAGGACAGGGGACAGCAAAGATTGCCCAGAGGCCCCAGTCAAAACATGAGGTAGGTATGGGATCCTGTGATACAGGAACAGAGTAGAGATAGGCATGCTGAGGGGTCAGTGGTATGTGGGGATGTCACCTCTAGCAGGGTGTTTTGTTCCCGTAAGATTTACTACTTTTTCTTATAGGACCGTGTTTTTCAAAATTATGAGATTAACTCAAGTTATATATTAGTAGCAGTGCATAATTAATTGCTAGCTACTATGCAAATAAAGATGCTTGTGTGTTTAACAAAGAAAGTATCAAAACCACATAGAAGTCTAACTGCCACCCACCCCCCGGGCTCTGTGTCTTGTCTTAGATTCCACCGAGCTGCCTAAGCGCCTCAGCCTTGACAGCTCATCCTCCCTGGAGTCTCTGGCATCAGCCCAGTCTGTCTCCAATGCCCTGCCCTTGGGCTACCAGCACCCACCCTTCTCTCCCACGGGCGCCGACAGCATTGCCTCTGATGCCATCTCTGTGTATAGCCTGAGCTCCATTGCCTCCTCAATGAGCTTTGTCTCCAAGTCCGAAGGTGGGTCGGAAGGTGGGGGCCCCCGAGGACGTCAGGACTATGACAGGTCCAAGAATGCTTACCCACAGAGATCCACCTTGCCAAGAAGCCAGTTGTCCCCCCAGACCCGCCCTGCAGGCAGCAAAGATGAAGAAGAATATGAAGGGTTTTCCATCATCAGCACTGAGCCTTTGGCAGCCTACCAAGACAACAGGAAGATGCGTTTCTCACCAGATCATAGACAATCCCGGGATGGGGCAGCTGGAGGTGTGAAAGTGTCAGTGAGCTCCAAGGGGAGCATAAGCACTCCCAATTCCCCAGTTAAAATGACTCTGATCCCCAGCCCAAACTCACCTTTCCAAAAGGTGGGAAAACTAGCAAGTTCAGATACAGGAGAATCCGACCAGTCTAGCACAGAAACAGACAGTACCGTGAAGTCACAAGAAGAAAGCAACCCAAAACTTGACCCGCAAGAGTTGGCCCAGAAAATTCTAGAAGAGACACAGAGTCATCTCATTGCTGTGGAGCGCCTTCAGAGGGGTGGCAGTCAAACCACCAAGAGTAATAACCCAGAAGAAGGCATTTCTGTGCCAAACAGTGCTGCCGTCTTCAGAGCATCCGAAACAAGTGCATTCAGTAGGCCTGCCCTTTCCCATCCGAAGAGCCAGCCATCGCCAGTCACTGTTAAACCAAAGCCCCCGGCCAGAAGTTCATCCCTACCCAAGGTGAGCTCAGGATACAGCAGCCCAACCACCTCAGAGGCGTCCGTCAAAGACAGCCCTGGCCGGCCGTCACCCAGCTCCGACTCCCAGACTTCCCTGACTGACCAGCCTCTCTTTAAACTAAAGTATCCCAGTTCTCCCTACAGTGCGCACATTTCCAAGTCACCAAGGAACATGTCCCCAAGCTCAGGCCATCAGTCTCCTGCTGGCAGTGCACCATCCCCAGCTCTTTCCTACTCCTCAGCTGGTTCTGCTCGCTCAAGTCCAGCTGATGCCCCCGACATAGACAAACTGAAAATGGCAGCCATTGATGAAAAGGTGCAGGCAGTCCACAACCTGAAGATGTTTTGGCAGAGCACACCCCAGCATTCAACAGGACCAATGAAAATATTCCGTGGAACACCTGGAACAATGACGTCCAAAAGAGATGTCCTCAGTCTATTAAATTTGTCACCTCGGCACAACAAGAAGGAGGAAGGAGTAGACAAGCTTGAACTTAAGGAGCTATCTTTGCAGCAACATGGAGAAACACCACAAAAAGCCCCTCCCAACGGACACTGGCGCACGGAGACCACCACACTGAGCACGCTGCCACTGCCCGCTGGCCTACCTGCTACAGCTCCCACACGCCCTCTGAGACTTCCTTCTGGAAATGGATACAAGTTTCTGTCCCCAGGAAGATTTTTCCCTTCCTCCAAATGCTAAATCATCTTTTATACTCTCTGACTCACTACAGTAATCCATAGAGAAGGTCTCTGCATTCACATGGGCCTACTCCCTCATCTGAGTGCGGTCACTCCACATAGCCACCAGCCACCTCACCATGGGGTGCTTTCCAGCAGTTGTGAGCACGTGTGTGTGTGTGTGTGTACGCGCACGCACACACACACACACACACAGCTGGTGGCTCAGACCAGATTCACCATAAGCCAAGGACTTCTGTGGGGTTGGTGCAGGAGGCTCATGGAATTTTTCTACACACTTCACCAAATGTTTACCTTTGAACTCCCAGCTTCTCATCTTTGATGTGACTTTTCAACAGGATTTTTGTACAAAAAATGGTCATGGTTCTGGGGTGGGAAGAGGAAAGGGAGCGCATATTTTGCTAAGAGGTATATATGCAGTACCTTTTATACACAGAAATACAAAAGAGCTTTTTTAAGGCATTCAGGTGCTGGTTGGGGGTGGGATATACAAAATCTGTAGAATTCTACATCAAAGCATTACTTTAGCCAAAAAACAGAATGATGGTTTTAAAAATGGCAATTTTTAAAATGATTTACAATTACAGCAATTTTGGTTTCATGATATTGTAACATCACTGTAATAATGCAATAATTCACATTGAAATAGTGCTTCCATCCTGAACTCTGCTCCATTGAGCTCTACCAATAGCCTTTGGGCCTCACTGTCAACCAAACTTGAATTTTCTTAAAAAACTTACGTAACTCTTATCCAGGCATTTTAAAACTATGCAATTGTGATTTAAAATGCAACTTTGTGCTTTTAAAACATTACTGACCTTTTTTGTACGTGGATAAACAACTTGGTTTTATTATCAATAGTACTTTGCATTTATAGCTATTATTTTTAAAGCTCAACACGTTTTTTAAAATGTCAAATTTTGAATAGTCATCCATAAGTAATTATCAAGTTTGGGGGAAAGGCTGAAATTACTCAGTTTCTTTATAAGCAAAAAAAAAAAAAAAATCATCCCATGGCTAACTAGATTTAACCAAAATCTAGCCTTCCAGCTCCTATTCCCTTTATTAGCTGCTTAATTTTATTCTTTTTCTAACTCCAGAACTCTAAAACCTCTTCTCTCTAAATCTCTTGCCAGATTCCCCTAAACCCGGCACCCTACCTGTGAGCTGCATATGGACTGTCACTTTAGCTGTGACAATTGCCACTCACGCTGTGGTCTGAAGGACAAGGTCCTCCCCTGCCATGGAAGGCTTAATGTTTACAGTCTGAGAAGCAGGGGTCTCTGCTGGGACAGACATCTGACCATTGCTGGGCAGTAGATTCCCTGGAAAACTAAAGACTTCCCCACAGCTGTGACAGTGAACTGAAATGCCCCCTGCTAGGAGGAGATAAAAGAATAGTCTATGTAGGGGAACCATTAATTTATTTTATTAAAGAAATGAAATGCTGAGAAATCATATTAGTACTAAGTTAAGTTGGAGAATTTAAGTCTTTTAAATTATTCTAAAATGAAAATCCTACCAGCCTGACTGTGAGGGTGTATGGCCCAGGATACCAGCAACATGTAGACTGGACATGAGGGGCTGGCAAAAGGGACACTGACATCAAGATGCCCAGTCAGAGCTTTTAACCTTGAATAGGATCTCACAGAATGACCACTTGCCCTGTTTCTTGGTGTACTCTGAAGAGAAAAGGTTATTTATCCAATTTGTGATATTCTCTTAAGCTATGTCATAGAGACTTTTGAGTTTACCTCAACAGCCATGTTGATGAAAGCAAACAATAAGGATGTCCCAGTCTAACCCTGATCCCAACATCAGAAAAGAAATATTTTATGAAAGCAGCAAGCAACTCTGAGGTTGTCTTTATGTCAATAGGGGAAAAAATGGTAATGAAAGTACCAGTGTAGCAAATGAAGCCAAGTTATAGCACTGTGCATTTACATAACAGAATCAGGTCCTCAACTACAAAAAATAAACCTCAAAGTAAATCTCTGAGTCCATATGTAGATAGTTAGGCTGTTCCTTTCTCAGCCTCTTTCCCAAGTGCCAAGGAGCCCTGGAGGAAAGGCGTGGGTCTGCTCCATCCTTGAGGACAGGGGAAGGCCACACGCCCACCTCTAGCACATCCCTTTCCACACCCAGATGCGTCCCATGGTCGCCAAGCCAGCGAGGAGGACTTGTGGAAGCGAACCTGGTATTAGTCCTCAGTACACTGTTGTTTTAGGTTTCATGTTGAAAAGCCAAATGTGATTTTTTTTAGGGGGGAGAGGGGCCTAGATACAAGCTTCAATAAGGGGAAACAAGGATATTGAAATAATCGGACCAACTTAAAAATCACTGTAGTATCACCCCTTCTTTATGTCATTCTTGGTGTTTTCTATACAAGTGAAATGAATATTAAATTAAAGTAGATTTTTCAGGCTACAGTGAAAAAAGTATACACTTACAATGATATTAAATGGTATAACTCACAGATTTTTTGGTGTAGATCAGGGGTTGACAAACTATGACCCAGAGGCTAAGTCTGGTCAGTGGCCTGTTTTTTTTATGGCGATGAGCTAAGAATGGACTATACATTTTTAAATAGTTATATAAGACCCTACATAATTGATTTTGCCTCTTGACCTACAAAGCCTGAATTATCTAATATCTGACCTTTTCGAAAAAAGTTTGTTGACTCCTGGTAGGTGAAAGAAAAGTGTCACATTGTGGATGTAGTAATTGGCATGCATGCGAACCTGGAGCTCTGGAGAGAAGCAAATGACTCCTGCTCTTTGCCCCACTTGGAAGGAGTCAATGGGTGTGGGTAAAATTTATAGAACTATTTCTCCTTGTAATATGCAGATAACATTGGATAGATTTCCTTTACAGCTCAGGAAATTGGATGGCCTGCCCCATTCTTTTACATCAGCAGAAAGACACGAATCCAAGCAATAAAATCTCCCTCTCCCAGAAACCTTAGTTGCAAGGTGGTAGATTCTATCTTAATTCTCATCAGTGAATTAACCAACTACTTTTACTGCTTTTAACTAAGTCACAACAGCAACACAAAAATACCAAGTTTAGCTACTAAAACTTACATTTTGATGCACACTGGTATGTAGTAAAATGAAATAGTTCTCTCCACCATCCCATTTTAAGCAATTCATGGTCCACACTGATACTTGCTGAGTCTCAGCAGGAGACAGGTGCTGCATCTGTCCTCACCCCGCTGGTGGCTATCCCAGTGAATGTCAGCAGGTGATCACCGGAGCAAGTACCGCCACCTCCTACCACAAGGATTGTAAGTACTGTCAGTTTTAGTTCAGGTTGGAAAAAACACCATGCAATAATCTGGTGTGCTTTGAAAGTAAGCAGAATGTGAAAATTCAGTAACTTTCATCATAATTTTGTTGTTTTATTTAAAATGATTGTACATGTGTTTGTGAACTGGGCCCTTATTTGTGCAAGATCCTTCAAATATGTTCCATGTAAGGACACCTGTGGTCACCTCTCCACTCCTAAGACGCCTTCCCTACTTGGCACTCACACCCCTTGTATGCAGTGTTAGCCATCCTTGGCCTATGTGGACTTCTTTTGTAAATTACAGTTTCCAGATGGCATTAAACTTTTTATATTATGAAATTTACCCTGTAAAAAGAACTTCATATTTTTATTGAGATTGCTAAGGCACTTGGCCTTCCTTTGTGATTTCAGTGTCTATTAAAGCATGGAATTCCCTCAATTTTAAGTGCAATATCTGAATCATTTTCTTTACATATTCCACATTTTCTAGGTTTCTATGCAGTACACTGGGGTCATATGGCATTAACAAGCACATTTCTCTCTGGAGTTTTGTCCTTATAGATACACTGTGGGCTCACATTTACCAGGATGAAAGCTAGAGAAAGTACACAGCAGAGTGCACCTGCCTGTGGGCTTCTTCAGAGCCCTGAGATGCTAGGTGCCTGCTGGTGCGTGGTTATGTAGGTGACCAGATGTTTCTGATCTTCTGTGATCAAGTTGGAGGACAAGAAAATTCTACAGTCGTAGAAGTGTTTTGACAAAGTTCGTTACCACCAGATCCTTATATGTGAAAAAACTTCAAAGGGAGTTATTTCAGAAAGGCGGCAACAATCTTACATGTTAAAGTCTGAGGACCGTGAAGGAATAGTGAGGTAAAATGTGACTAAGTTGTAATAAATACTGATTGTACAGCAAGAGTACTGTCTCATTTGGTGGCAATAAAAAATTAAAATACAAAAAAACCTGCAAACAAGGGAATTAAAGTGTACTAGGTTGTTTGGGAAGAGAAGATCATTTTTAAAATAAGTTAAATTTGTATAATCTCACATACAAGCAATGTAATAGAAGATATTTCCAAACAAGTTAGGAGAGGAAAATTTAATTTAATTTAATTGCTGTAAAGGAATAAAAAAAGGAAAGAACAGCAACAAAAACTAATTAAAAGCAGGAAAATGTAAGATGAAAGAAATAAGAAACAGAAGTCATTATAGATGTAAATAAACTAAACAAATGAAAAGGAGAGTGATAGATGGTGGCAATATGCAATATGCTCTTTAAAAACTGTGCTGTTTGAAAGGGGGGGAAAAAAAAAAACTACCAAAGCATAAGGACCCTCAATGATTGGTAGTAAAAGGACTAGCAAAATAGATATTAAAGTAAAAGACAGTAATAAAAACAAAGATGCATTTTCTAATATTAAAATGTTTAAAAACTTTAGCAGAAAGACAAAATTCTAAACCTACATGCAACTAACCACGCAGCTTCAAAGCTCAAAGTAAAAATCAGCAGAACTGCAAGTCTGGAAAACTGTACTATCAAAATGGGAGCTTTCACCCTCTGCTCTTTATAATTGATACAGCAGACAAAATTATTAAGCATATAGCAGGTTTAAACAATTCAGCAAATAGGTTTATGAAATAGATTCACGACTCAGTCTCTGATAGAATCTATCAATATATTCTTCACAAGCAACATGGAATAACTTACAGAAACAGACCACACACAGGCCACATAGCAAGTCTCAGCAAACACTGAAAAATCAGCATAATTGCAACCACACCTAATTCAAACACAATATAACTCAAGCATCAATAACAAGATAATTTAAAAGTTGTCAATCACTTAGATATTTTAAAATGCATGCAACAACATGAACCATGGAAGAATTCATAATATAAATGAGAAAACACTGCACATTAAAACTGATAGACACCTTGGGAGTTTCTGGAGTTTACTGTTATTTATGACAGAGGTATTTTATATTTGTTCTATTCAAGGCCAGAAGTTTCCACAATGAACTACAAGTTTACTTTCACCTAATAAAGTAAAATGCACAATTATTTTTATTTCTGCTTACATGCTACTTTCAGGAAATATATAAATTATACGCTAGTTTAAGTATAAAATTGAATTTCATAAAAGCTAGTGAGATACTTACTGCTAAGGGGGCACTTTAGAGAAGTTTATACTCAAGGCTAATATTGAAAATACGTAACTGCACGAGGCCCAAAAAGGAGGGATACCCACTCTATGATACTAGTGTATGTATTGGTACATATTGAGTTTTCAGAATGGTCATGACACATTTTGGCTTGAAAAACAGAGAATAAAATGTCATGATTTTTCCAACAACCCAAAATTAGTAAAGAATTGTAACAGAGCTAGGTGACCACATCGAGAAATTAGGAAAAAAAATGAATCAAGAGAGAAAATAAGGGAAAGAATAAAACCAGTCAGAAAACAACAAAAATTAAAGCTAATATGTTAATATAGAAGATCAAGGACAAAGCCAAAAAGAGAAAATATACAAAGTTGTGAGAAGGTTGGTCTTGTGTGTGTATGAGATGAGAGAGACAAAAGGGAAGTATAGCTAAAGATGCTGCAGAGCTTGAAAAAGGAACACTATAAAAAATCTTATGCCAACATATGTGAAAATGCAAATAATTGTTAATATGGTATAGTCATACATATATACACAGTTGAAACGTATCTAGAAAGGTAGGAATGGTGGACCTCAAATGCAAGAGAGCACCACTGTCGGAGGGAAGTGACAGAATCAGGAAGTTTTTAAGTCACTTCAGATACAAAGCACTGTAACATGTGACTTTACCTGGTCACATATTTCATAGTGAATTTAAGAATGAGTGAAAAGTATTTTTAGGTTACATAAATTTCAGAAAAAAAAATTTTTTTAAAAGTTCTGGTATAACAACAGAAAGAAAAAACAAAGGTCAAGCAACTACAAAATGGCGAATCACAACTCCTTGCCCTTTATCCAACTGTAATATATACAAGCCCAGGTGGTTTCACATGTATTTCACCAAACTTTTCAGGGATCAGTTAGACCTGATCTCTTCAAATTGCTTAATATGAAAATAAGACAACCAAATCATTTCATGATACTATCCTAAAATTCTAAAACCAATAGAGTAAGAAATGAAAACGACAGACTGCCATTTCATTTATGAATCTAGGCATAAAAATCTTAAAATTCTGGCCATTAAATTCTTATATTTTAAAAACTAGGAAAAAGTAGATTGAGAGTGGATCTGTATGTTAGTTACTTGGGAGTACAAGTCTTTGCTGATGAACACAAACAAACCATTTCTATGGGGCCAGAGCAATAAGCATTAAATTATGGAGGACATTACTAATCTGAGAACAGGAGAGGCTAAAATTCTATGGTTTACACAGCAATTAGACAAAAAGCAAATCTCTTATACACCTATTATAAAGAAAATTCCAAACAGCTTTAAGAAACAACATAAAAACTATATCCTGCTATTACTGTTAAAGTAGAAATTAGCTTTAGTATAATAATTTACAGATTAAATCTAAGGGTGCAAGGTTAACACAGCACTAAGAATGAATTTATGACCATAGTAGTGTGGTCCCTATTACCTTAGGAAATAAAATTTATGTTCTCTGTTACTGCCAAAGAATTTGCATATCCAATTGTATAATACATGTTTCGTAGGATGCTTCCCTGGAAGGAAAAAATAGCCCTTAATGAAGATTATGTGCTTAAGGACCTCAAGTGACAGTTAGCTAATACAAAAGCCAGGGACAAGTAGGACTGCTATCAGCTACTCAGCTGTTTTTTAATATTAGTAGTCTAATGCTTTATTTATATAGTCACTTTGTTTTTGTGGTTTTGTTTCTTTTCTTTTTTTTTTTTTTTTGCTTTTAGCCTCAGAATTTCTGGACAGGGACTGCAGTATGGCACCTTTCTCAATTTAAAGTCTTTCTTCAACTTTTCCAATGAGTATGCATGCCTACAGCCTCTAATAATACTAAATAATGGCAAACAGCAGGGAACTGACAGGCTAATGCTACATCCACTCAGCAAATGAGGCCAAAACATCTGGATCCAAATACATTCAAGGGACATGTTGGCATTAAGGAAACATTTTGCTTCTCAATGAATTTGCATCCAATCTCAAGATATTTATTAAATTTGTAGCAACTGTGCATCTGGGCTTCTGGGAACAATAATATCCTCAAATATATAAATATTCTCAGTATATTTATATTAAATAAAGTTTTAAAATTCTAAAACAACTTTAAATCCCATCAGCAGAACTCAAAGTCTACCCTTCAGTTAACTGGGACAGGTAAATGAATTTTAATTCTGATCTCTTTGGCAGTGTTTTGCCGAAAGTTGAATTTTTTTTCATTATAGCTTTCTGAAATATAGCCATTTTCTTTTTAAACCAAAAACACAAAAGTAAAATAAAAATGATATGTAATTAAGTAAAAAAGAGGCAGTTCTTATATATTATTTCAGGCAATTCACAGCACAAATATTTGCTGAGTGTTTGTGATAAAAGAATGGAGAAAAAAATAAACAAGCAAAAAGTTAAAATAGGAGTCTAGAAGGTCCATAAAATAAAGCCTGTGCACTTTACTGAATTATATGCAATTCTCTCCTGTTTACAAACAGTTCAAGCTTGATGAATGAAAATACAAGCACTGTGCCTCCCCCTCCAGTCCGGAGATGTTCTAAGAGACAGTCTTTCAGACCTAAGAACTCTATTCTGGCTGCAGCAGACTAAACCAGAGTAGGGCAATAGCTGCAAGGTCAGTCAGTTATTGTTTCCTGAACCACAGGAAAAGGTCTTAAGATTAGTTTTCTCCAGACAACCCAATCAAAAAATGGGCAGAAGAGCTAAACAGGCCCTTCTCCAAAGAAGACATAGGTGACGGCCAATAGACATGAAAAAATTCGCATCATCACTTACCATCACGGAAATGCAAATCAAAACCACAATGAGATACCACCTCATGCCCAGGAGAATGGTCCATGTCAAAAAAAAACACAACAAAGTGCTGGTGACAGTAGAGAGGAAAATGAATCCCATTACACTGTTGGTGGGAATGTAGAAGGGCCCAGTTCCTATGGAAAGAAGTGTACAGATTCTCAAAAGACTAAAAATGGAACTACCATATGACCCAGTGATTACACTCCTAGGTTATCTATCCAAAGAGCACAAAAACTCTAATTTGAAAGGAAACATGCACTCCTAAGTTTATAGCAGCACTATTTATAATAGTCAAGATATGGAAACAATCTAAATGCACCAGGATGACTGGATCAAGAAGCTGTGATATGGATACACAATGGAATACTATGCAGCAATCAAAAAAGATAAACTCATGTCATTTGCTGCAACATGGAACTAGAAGGGATTATTCTAAATGAAGGAGAAAAGATAAATACCAGA